CCACGAGCACTGCCTGAAGGCGCATTCTGTGGAGCAGGCATTGAGCAGCTGTGCTTGCCGCATGACTTTCACAACATCGGGCCGAGGGCCTGTGAAAATTGCAAAAGTCTAGTGGAAGTCAACCTCATGAGCACAGAGATCACAGCCCTGCTCTCTTCCACCTTTGCCCACTGTGTAGCGTTGCAGTGCATATGGCTTCCACCTCGCCTCATACAGATCGGAAAAGAAGCCTTCCTTAATTGTGTTGTGCTGCAGGAAGTTGTCATCCCGACAGAACTCAGTGACATAGGCAACCGTGCCTTCTGCGGGTGCGAGCAGCTGCAACGGTTTACCCTCCTAGATTGGGGAGACGTTGAACAGTGGGTGCAGGCAGAGCACAATGCTTTTTTTATGTGCGACAAATTTGAAAAACCTCATTGGCTGGAACTGCTCCCCGCGGAAGGACCAGATTCTGATGCCTTTGACGAGGAACTCAGCCACGAATATTGCCAATATCACGCCAGTCCTTGGTAGACTTTACGGAGCTATACTGCCATGAATATTGCCATGCCAACTGCTCTGACTAGGAGCTAAACCACGTGTACCCTTAGCATTATGCCAGGCCATGAGAGGCTCAAGGTAGGTGCCTTAGCATCTGTCTTCAGGAAACAGCCCCGGCCGTAGGAACAGCCCATGTGCAGACTGGACGCCAGTGGCTCGCGCAATGATATCAAATAGCCTGCCGCAAAAAGAGCTTGACAGTTCATCCATGAATAGCACTCCCATCGAAAAGGAGCCAGTCATGGAATGCCCCCTGTTGCTGACTACGCTTTCGGGGGTAACCTTTAAGGTCTCTCTCAGTGTCGCCAAGTTCGACCGATTTACAGATTTAGAAGACCAGGTTATGGATTATCTGGCCTCGGTCACTGACCTCCAAGTTTTTGGGTGCGTCATTGACTTTTTACACACCACCACGCAAACCTACCTAGAGGACCCAATTTGGGATAAGTTGCAGCAGGGTAGAGAATACACCATTGTCTTCAGGGACTGTAGTGTTACCCTGCTAGAACAAGAACAGCTCGGTGGTTATCCTATTGATCAAGTCCCCTTAGCTGTTCATGTCCCAATGAACTCAGAAGAAACTGTCCCAGAATGGGCCTTTGCAGGTGTGCCTCGCTTGCGACACGTTAGCGTCGAGTCAGGGATCAGGCTCATAGGTGCAGAGGCATGGCAAGATTGCCGGCAACTCCGCATTGTCAAACTGCCGGCCACAGTGGTAGGCATTGCAGATAATGCCTTCCGGGACTGCAAGCTCCTAAATAGTGTCTTGGCTCCGGGTTGTCGCGATTTTGGTTACAAAGCCTTTTCGGAATGTTGTTCCTTGCAGCGTGTGTATGCATCGGGTGGAGCTGTAAACGTGTTCAGCGGGGAAACCAATTTCGGGCAATACCTCTTCCAAGGGTGCATCAACCTTGCAGAGGTCACCGTGAGTGAGGTTCCATCCCCCCGATCTGAATTGAACGGGTTAACCCAGCAAGACAGGACCAGAGAGCTAGCTCCGGGCTGCCTCAGCTCTACAGGCATCTACACGCTTGTTCTCCCAAAGCACTTTGTAGCCATAGGAGCGCACGCTTGTGACAGTTGTCGACTGCTTAACAGTGTTGACCTCCGTAACACCATGATTGAAGAAATTCCGGAATTCACTTTTGCCCACTGCACTAGCCTTCGGGAAGTCTTCCTACCGACAACCCTCCATACAATCCGAGTTAAAGCCTTTATGAACTGTGCCGCCCTTGTTGAGCTTGCCATTCCGCCTGCTCTCAAGTATATTGGAAGTAGGGCTTTCTTGGACTGCACTGCCCTTCGGAGGCTGGTCAAAACGCCCGGAACACGCAGATGGCATGGGGTTTATGCTGAAGAAAATGCTTTTGCCATCTGTCCGGCCATGAAATGGCCACCATGGCTGCACATATCCCAGACATGGGCTACACCCCTGGCTTAGGGTAGAGGATCATCCCTCCATCCACAGCTGTCGTGGCCCTGCTATCAATTTTGTTAGGGGCTGGGTGCGAGCCTTAGCTCGGGTCCGGAGTAGGCCAGCAATTGCGAAACAGTACTCCTCAACACGAGTCACTAACCATAGCTGCCTTCCGTTATACATGGAGTAAGTGCCCAGAGGCTGTCGGATAGAGAAAGGTCTCGGCGTGGCGGTGATGTCGACAACGGCAAATCGTCCACCTGCCAGACACAGTAGTCGGTCACTGGTTTAGGTGTCAAATGCTGCGGGTCGTGGTCGCCCCGAGATGCAAGTTTTCGGCACCATAGCATTCGATGACCTATAACGCAAACGACCTTGGGCGACGCAAACTATCTAGAACCAGCCTCAACGAAGCTATGCTTCAGAGCCAGGAGAGAAGCAAGTGCGACGTGAGCAGTGAGTTGAGCCAAGTGCCAGTTTTGAGCATTAGAAAAGGAGGATTTCCAGGCATATATGGCAAGCAAAATGCACAGACACCAAGTAGAACCATGACCTCTTCTCGCCATCCGCTGCGAAGTGAGCCGATAGGAGCGAGAACCTTAGTTCTGCGTTCCTACGCGGCGGGTGGTAGATAGTGGCAATGAAGGATGCCCAGGGGGAACCTTAGTTCCCGCTGTTGATGTCCGACATTTCCAATTTTGTACAAAGAGGTACAGATATCATGCTAGGAGAGCTCAATGTTTCACAGGTTTCACACGGGCCTTGCACGCACCTCTCACCTTTTGCCATCAAACAGCGCCGCACAGACTCAAGTGACATCCCCTTTTTGGCACCGTTGAGTGCCGAAGGGTGTTGGGTCTGCCTCCCCAAGGGGAGGTGGTGCCCGATTCACCCTTAGCTGCAGGCTTCTCTCGCTAGGAATTGCCACCGTAATTGAATTCTGTCTGGCAGCATGTGACTGGCCTTGTATGCGCCACCGGTTGAACGGGTTGTGCTACAAGTATGGTCTTTTCCATGGATTGCTGCTTAGATCTTCGCACATTCGGATGGCCTGATTACAACCACTGCTGGAGCATTGCGAGACACCTGACCTGCAAAGTGACCTTGTTTTGCCACACTGTGGTGTGGCCGCTGGTCACCAACACTTGGTAAGGAAAGTCCGTTTGAAGCCTGCTAGGCGGCTTTCCATGAACACAGCTTGCGCTGCAGTCCGCTTCTTTTGCGAATTCAGGCCCACTAGTTGTCACTAGTCTCAGTTTCACACGTTTCACCTAGTGTATAGGGAAGATTACAAGATGGTGGAGTCGGCCTGCGGGCCTGGGTGTTTGGTTTTTGGGTTGGTTTTTGGGGTCTTCGTTCCTTTCTCCACCATCTGTCTTTTCTTCCCTTCCTTCAACGATGACCTGGGCACCATGCCCACACGGCGTCCGTACTCGTGGAAAAAAACAGTTTTGAACGAACGCAGTGATTCGGTGGCGCCCTGATCGCTTCCTGGTACACCGATTGACCCAATTGATGTTTTTCTGGTATTCCAGGCATCATTATTTGATCTGGTGTTTTCTCTACATCACTGTCGGAAGACACAGGTGGTGAGTTCCGAAGAGCCTCCACGTTGTCCACAAAGCCGAACCAGGCGGCGCATTGAATGCGGGACAGTTGCAGATGATCTGCAGGGACGAAAAGGGGGAGTGACTCGGAACTGGGAACGTCATTGAGGGGTGACATTGATAGGATGACAGTTACAGGATTGTTTGCCAAAAGGGTCAAGATGCCATGGGAAGCTCCTCCTTTTTGTGCAATATTCAATCCAGCTTCATTTATGCAGCCATCCGTTTCCTTTGAGTCTAGCAGTGTGGGTTTTCTGGACAGAGCGACTGCAGTGGATGTTCCAACTATGTCCAGGACTGCGGGGGACGAATCGTCTCTTGAGAAACATGCTGCGCAGAGGAAGCTTGTAGCCGCAAAGATTCTGACCCATGATGATATGCGACATAGGAGTTTGTTGCTCTTCAGAATGATCTTTGAATCCGATCCCCGAGCCACGAACCTGGGGATCCAACTGGCGCTGTGCAAAACAAACGGTCAGGATGAACTTTATTGGTCAACTCTTGAAGACACTTTTGCATCCAAGAGCAGTGCGACGTTGTACAAGAGGTCGAGGTCCTTGTGGCTTTACTTCTTGTGGCTCAAGTCCGCGCGCAATCGGATCGGCGTTGTGTTTTCTGAGGAGCTTGTCTATGGATATCTGGTTCAGGCGAAAAGGGATGGCAAAGCCCCAACGCACGGTCAGGCCTTTACCCAGTGTTTAAACTTCGTTCACGCAACCTGTGGTATGACAACATTTGACCCCCTTCATCTTTCTGGACGAATCAAGGGTATTGTGAAATCCATGGCCAACAACAAGAGGCCTCTCCAACAGGCTCGAGCTCTATACAAAGAAGAAGTTCAGGCCTTGGGGAGGACTTTGTCTTGGATTGCAGCCACCATCCTTGCATCAGAATCAGTGCTGGGTACTTGTTGTTTTGCTTTGTGGCTTGGTGTCGTTTTTCTGACCCCATATATGCATTCGACTGGCAAGTCTCGGAATCGGGTAACATTGTCTTGATCGAGGCCAGGGCCAGGGTTCACAAGACGGCTCATGTGCATAGCAGACAGTCGGTATTCCTCCCCCTTGTCGGTCTCGGCCGAATCTTCAGGGAGCAAAGTTGGGCCAAGAATTGGATGGACCTGAGGGGTGCTCAGGAACGCCAGGCCCTTCATCCTCCCTGCGTTCTCGGAGCAGACCTCAGAGTGGGTCAATCGTGCTATGATAGCTTCGGAGGGTGCATTGTGGTTGCGTGACATTGTGGCGACTTATAGGATTACAGGTTCATCTTTGACAACCCACGGACTCAAGGCAACACTTTTGACTTGGGTCACCATCAGTGGCACTTTGAGTTTTGAGCAAAGGCGAGCGTTAGGTCATCACGTTGACCCAGGAAGCAGGGCACCACTGACTTACAGCAGGGACAATGCGGTCGGGCTTCAGGTCCCTTTGGCCATGATGTTGAGGACGATGGCTGATGGGACGTTCGATCCAGATTTGCCCCGGGCAGCCCAGGTGGATAGGCAGGTGAACCAACTGCTTATGGAGGTAGGCGCAACAGATGATGGTTTTGTCGTTGGGCTTCGACCACCAACGGCTGTCGATGAAGTCATGAGCGACGGCACCGATGTTGACAATGCGCTCGACATTGAGGACGGCGCTGACCAGGCAGAGCTTGATGTTGTGTGCATAGATGCTGAAAAGGCAGCGGGCCTAGTGACACAGCACCGGTCCAGTGGAGTCCTGCACTTTGTTGCGTCGCATGACAAGCTAACATGTGGCAGGAAGATCTCAAAGGCGTATGCCATTGTTGAAGAGGATTTGGTTGTGAAATGGCCGCTTTGCCGGCAGTGTCGCAGATCGGGAGGTGAGGAGCTTGTAGCCCAGGTTTGCCCGGATTGAGATTCGCATTTCGCTCTATAAGAGAAAGTTCGTGGCGCGATTGTGTGGTTGTAGATTATTTTCTTGTCTTTTGTTGAGTGTACTTGTTCACGAGTGTTCCACAGTGGATCTTATTTGTTCAATCAATTTGGTTCTCATATTGCGCTCTCGTGCAATTGTGCTTGCCAAGCTTGAGATGATAGCCCGCGATGTTCGCGCGCGCGCGCGTTTGTCACAGGTTCATCACGCGCGCCGATAATCTTCGATAGACTTACCTTTACCTTATTGTCACGAGTTTTGGAGTACTTGTGGCTTCGTGTGACGAAGCATTGTTCAAGAACAATGAACGTTCTATTTCTGAGTTATTGAATTGTTTGCGCTTCACCACTGTGCACAGTGCATGAGACGAAGCGTTGCCATTGGACGGTGATTGAATGACCGTCATTGTATGCTGCTCAAGGACAGCATGACAGCAGTAAATATCAATCGCCGTATCTTAAGTGTTCGGTTTGTCCTTTTCAGACAATCTGAGCAATAAGACCCAAGCTCAACATGAGGTGTCCCAAGTGAGTTTGATTGGGAGCTTACCTGTACCATTGTCCTCTTCCTTCAAGATTCAAAATCACTGATCTTGCATGTTTATCCTTTTGATAGCCTTGTTAGACCCATGGACTCCAAAGCGGCCTTTGCAGAAAGGGCCAAGGCGGTAGGCGTGAGTGAAACTCATGTGGCACCCTTGTCCGGAAAGCAACTGGACACGTTCGGAGCCTTTGCATTCATTTCTTCGTTCCAGCCAGGGGGAACCGATGAAACACCGTTTGTTCGTGCTTTAGGAGCTGCGTTGCAAGTGAATCCAACTGCCTTTACTGAAGCCGAGTTGTCATCATTCAGGCGCTTGTATTATGAGGCACACACGTTAGCCATGGGAGACTTGAGGTCTCGCCTTGAACGCAAAGACGGTGAGGCCCCACGCAAGATTCCTATGGCAGAGCGATCCCAGCTTTTGGACCTTCTCAAACAGGAATTGCCAGGAATCACAATCGATCTTCAGCTCGAGCCTGCACATAAACTCGTAGACATGGTAAAGCAACAAGTTGAGGACAATTGCATTCGCTTCCTTCCTTTGAAAGAATGTTTGAGTCGTGCGTCCGAACTCCTGAATCACAAGCATGAGTCTGCCCTTGAATTTTCAGGTGATGGCACTTTGAGGCTGACCAAGAAGCAGAAGGAGCAGCGTGCTGATGTTCAGGGGGACCTGAAGCTCAAGATGGCTTTCCAGCGCAGGGCCTTAGCGTATCATATGACCGGTGTCTCATCCTTCTTAGTGCAAGACAAGATCATCAGTGGGTGGTTTGCTCTCCTGACAAAGGAACCCGCTTCAGGATATCGCGCGGTGACATTGCAACAACTGGTGCAGGCAGATCAGGAACTATGGTTGCATGCTGCGCAAGAAGTTCGGGGCAAGAATTTGTTGGCTACTCCCAAACCTTTGGATCAAGCTCTGACCCAGTTGCAGCAGAGTGCCGAGATTCGTTATAATTTGTTGCCGTTGCCAGCGTCACAGAAAGAGCCAAAAGATCCCCCCAGAAAGCGTTTGAAACAGGATTCGAAAGGCGACAAGGGGGGGAAGAAGGGTCTTGGCAAGGGCAGTGTCAGTCTGCCGAAAGATTGCGTCGCGACAACACCGGCAGGAGCTCGAATTTGCTTTCAATACAATCGAGATAGATGCAATCGACAGAACGCAGACAAGTGTCATCGTGGTGTGCATGTGTGCTGGAAGCAGGGATGCCATGGTAAGCATCCCTTCAGCGGATGTGACCAGTCGTGACAAACCGGGCCGAAGACAGGTCATTTGGACCTTTCCAGTAGGCCCACATTTGCATGCCAGAACACCAAATTTGCTTTGTCAGGATTTTCCTTCGTTTTGCCCTGCCCTTTGAGTGATCTCAAGCCAGTTTCTTTCGAGTGTACCAGTGAGCAGCTTTTGTGTGTTGAACTCTTTGCAGGGACTGCTACGCTTTCTCGATCTCTCAAGGATTGTCATTTTTCCGTTTTGCCCGTGGACTGCACTTCCGAACGGAAACCGAAGGTCCATCTTTTGCAGTTAGATCTCACGAGCCCCAGTGATCAAGCCGTGATGTTGCATGCTTTGTGTTTTGCCAACGTTGCCTCAGGACACGCCGCCCCACCGTGCGGTACCTCATCCCGGGCCAGGGACAAGCCTTTGCCTCAGGAGATGCGACATGTGCATGCACCGCCTCTGCGATCCGAGGCTCAGCCCCTAGGTATGAGTAATCTTACACCTCAGGATCAGGCTCGTGTTCACAGTGCCAACCAGTTGTATGCTTTCACTGCATTAGCTGTTCTCATTCTTAGCCTTCGCAATGCCATGGTAAGTGTGGAGAACCCCAGTCGCTCGTACTTTTGGTTAGTCATGCTGCATTTTGCAGAGAGCAATAGTTGTTTTTCGGCTGCTTGGCATTCCTTGCAAGATGTTCACTTTCAAGCCTGTGCACATGGAGGGACTCGTGCCACCTGGAAGTGTTGGCGATCCACACCAGGGGTGTTTGATCGTCTCCGCCAGCGCTGTCCAGGGGGTCACCAGCACGAGTCGTTCAAGCCTAGCTTCGACTAACAGCTCAACCCTGTTTTTCCCACTCAAGGAGAAGCTGCATATCCCGCTGAACTGTGTCACACACACATGCTTTGGCCCTCGTTGCAGAGTGCAGTAAGAGGGGTGCTCAGTTCCCAAACTCTGCCTTCGACCCCCAAGGAGCTTTGGTTGAACGTTCAATCCCCACAAAGCACGGCCTCCGGGCACTTCCTCCCATCGTGTCCGAATATGCCGTCGTGACAGATCAGCGCCCGCACTCTCTGCCATTCAAGCAATTGTCCAAGTTGCCATCCTTTGTAGAAAATGGGGAGTCACGAGCAGAAGGGAAAAGAGCAAAGGTCAGCAATCCACGCAAAACAGAAATCAGACTTTCCCAAGCCGACCCAAAGGAACTCTATGGTGTCTTTCGTGAACCTGAGGTTTTTGTTGATGCCGCATTGACGGCCAAGCACCCGATTGACTATGCGTTCCCATTGCCTGACGCCTTGCTAGAGGCGGTTGCAAAGTTGATCTCAGATGGACCCAAGCTCACCATCGCAAGACGAAAGCTGGCATTGAAGAAGGTTCAAGTGCGAGCGGATAGACTCAGGGCCCAAGAGCTTGAATTGCACGCCAGCCTTGACCCCAGGATCGCCAAGGTGGTGGAAGGGAAAAACCTCCTTCTGTGGAAGGAATTCTTGGAGGAGACAAGTTTTGACGACCCTAACTTGTTTGATGAATTCTGAAAGGGTTTCAAAGTAACCGGTAGAGCCACGAAATCCATAGAGAACCGAAAGTGACATGAGTTCAAGGCCATGAATTTGGATTGAGTTTCGGCGGGGATGCCTGTGAGGTTGACTACATATTCGCGTAGGGTTCCTGCCCCCTAGCAAAAACTATACTCGCACCATGTCCTCGGTCGAGCGGATGCTTCTTGCGGCGTCCACACGCCCCGAACGTATTTCCGGCTTGCCAGTGCAGATAGATAGATACATACATACACACGCATACATACATACATGCATACATACGAACATACATACGTGCATACATACAAACATACATACATACATAGATCAGATTAGATTAGATTAGATAGATAAAAAGATAGATAGGTAGATAGATAGAGAGACAGATATGGAGAGATAGAGAGATAGAAAGATAGAGAGATAGATATGTTGATAGATAGATAGATGGATAGATAGATAGATAGATGTAGATAGATAGATAGATAGATAGATAGATCAATTCATGACGTCGCCTTTTTGTTGGCAGCCCTGGCCGGATCCAGTCAGCCTGGGTCCACGGCCCAAAGATCTACACACGCAGGTGCCAAAGTCAAGGCCTCTGAGTGAGAAAGGCGCAGAGTTGATAAGAAAGAGAAGAATAAAGAAGGTGTTTGGGTCGTTTAATCCAGGCCCCTTTAAAGGAAAAAGATTGTGTTTTGGATTGAGCCAGAACATGACTCACTCAAGTCCAGGCATGTGCATCGATAGGCGCGCAAATCCTCACTCCTTTGCTAGCCCAAGCTACTCCTGCTGGACATCCCCTTCTACGCCACAGGATCAAACGTCCGTGTCCCGGCTAAGTGCCGCAGTATGCGTTGCAAACTTCAAACACTCCAAATGTAACAAAGGCATAATTGCTTCTTTTCAAATGCATGCCGCGGCGACGCTCACTATGAAGAAGCGCGGCGCGCGCGCGTGGTATCCCACCACTCGAACTCAGACGGTATTTTCCCTTCGCTAACGCTGATGTCGCCTTCCAACTTCCATAAGACGCATGCCTTCCTGCGCGTGACAAACACAGCCATTGCCTTGTGAGTGATGATGACTTATACCAACATACAACGTATCGCATTTCTCTTTCGCTACTCCTTTCATACCAAACTTATCCCAAAGCCGCCCGGCTTGCTTCTCTGCTCCCTCAATCACCACTGCATACGCCCCCCCCGCACCCGCGGCACCGCTCACTCTCAAGCTGCCGACCATGTGTGTTGTGCCGCGATGCCCGCCAGAAAAAGAGACACTCGTCTGGCGGCTGCTGGCTTTCGTCCCCCCTTCTCAGGGGTTATATATATATATATATTTATATCACTATACATACATATAGCTTGGATGGATGGCGGACGTTGAACAGGATGTTGAAACTCTAATCAGAGGACGCGCACGTGTAACAGGGAATTTTGTGCTACAATCCCTGGGTTTTGTTTATATTCAAGCCCCCCGTCTGGGAGGCTTGGGCTGCTTTGATGGCCTCAAAAGGCTTTCCGAAGCCTCCAAAACGATCAGGTTGTTGTTCTTTGTGCCAGATTATGTTTCTTTTGCTTGGCAGCGCACCAACAAACCAAAGCTTTTCATGGGTAGTCAAACTGATTGTTGTGCTGGCGCTTTGCTAATTTCAAACCGCGGTGGTTTGTGGGGATGGCCGCATCCTTCGATTGTGGCAATTTCGATGTGACCTTATCCTGGAGATCTCGTCAGGTCGCAATTCTTTTTTACTAAAGGCCGTCAACGGCATGCTTGACTAGTTGCCATGTACAGCGTTCAGGCAAAACAAAAACAGCGCTCGGCAGCTTGAAAGTTTGGAGATGCAAAACTGCACATGGTGCCTGTGTTGACTACCTCCCTGGCCCACCGCTGATGGACGTCACGGGGACCCACCGCCTGCACGGTCGTAAATGGTTGAAGATGGGGCGATCCTCTTCGCTTTGGACCATTGGATTTCAGCGATGCCAAACTTAGTCCCAAGTGGTCATGAAAACGCACCCAACATAGAGAAACAAGATGGCCTGGACAGCTGAAAGGGAAGTGGGCTGAAAGTGTTGGGAGCAAGTGCGTGCCATGAATCTTTCAGCAGGTAGTTCGATTGAGAAGGGTTTGTGCGTGTGCCGCATCCGGCGCCATGGTGAGCACCTCCCGGGAACATTTAGAAGTAACGTATATGAAAAATACCGGATCAACTTCCAACCTGGTAGTTTTTCGTTTGTTTTGTTTCGTTCATTGCTGCCCCCCCGGTAGGCAGCAACACTTTTACTAACAGGTGAGCGTGAAGCACTTCCCGTTTTCGGATTGCGCAGGAGAGGGTTCATGTTGAGCCCTTCGCCAACTGGAGGTGTCAAACACGGCGTGCCTTTTGAGTTTTTGCAGGTGTGTTTGAACCAGCTTGATGTTTTGATTGGGACGCGTGGTTGGACAAGGTCGCGCCGTGCACTGGCGGTTGACGGTCCCGGATTTTGTTTCGATTTTGTCGGAAAAAAGTGCAACAGCAGCAACAACCCCCGCGTGTACCTTGTCAATGTGCGTCGGGCAAGCGGAATTGCGCATGAATCTTTCACAAGTAGGTTGCAAAAACCGCATTCCGGAGACTGGGTACCACGTGCGTTACTTGTAATCGTAAAGTTGCATTCGTACATATCCTGTGCCAAAGTCCTTTCTTTTGGAGATGGCCTTTGGGACCCACGGAGTGCCGAAACAGCACTGACGTGAAACATTTGTCAAAACATTGCGAGAATAATTGTCTCAAAAATGGTTCGCTAACGGAGGAGGACTGTTGTGCGTGGGGGTTGTTCGTGGGACACAGGATTGTTTGGATGCAACACATGCTTTTCAACGTTTAGGCCTCCACTGAAAGTGAGACACATTCGGAGGCAAAAAGGAAAAGACCAGCACCTCAAGGCAGCCGAACAATGCACCCCAAAAGAATCATTGCTGGTCCTCCATGGTTAATGACAATCAATGAGCGATCTCACGAAACTTGTACGCCCGAAAGGGGCAGCCCATTGATGCCACAGGTGAGACCAAAGAGAGGCAGATGGATGCGCGCCGGTTTTGTCACCACTTCCGCAAGCCAAAAAGAATGAACTCAGAAACTCCAAAAAATAGTTGGGTGAACAAGTTCTCGAGCGTCAAGCCCGCGCGAATTTAGAATACTGCAGGGCGCTGCGGCCAGTTATGTTGAGGCCTCCCACGGTTGGTTCCACCGCTTGGAGTACCCAAGCAAGTGCCCGCCAAAGCTTGCGATCAGCAGCTAACATTTTCTGGACAATTGGGCTGACCAAGTTTGAAGACCGGCCGCATCCACAACTTGATGCATACGTAGGTTCCGTTTATGGACAGCTTCATTCATTGGGCACTCAAACCCAAAACCGGAGGAGACACAATACACGTGACCAATTCACGAATTCGGACATCAGTCATTAACACGTTTTCGTGCCATAGGGCGCACGGGCACAGCACGCGCGAAACTTTATTACCGAGTCAACCACGGTCAAACGTTAGCCCAAGAAACGTATTGGAGGAAGAGGGCTTTACGGCTGACGGAAAAAAAACAGCGCAGACCCCGTTGTGCAGTACATGACATTGAGTGAGGAGACAGGCGGAGGATTTGCGTAAAGCCCTCCCAGTCTTTGTGTTCCACTTTTGGGTTGCTGAAAACAGATTGCACGCGTGCATAAAAGAAACCATGATTGCTACAAAACCGTATTTCGTTCCTAGGGATTGGGCACATGCAGCCCAGCCACTTGTGGCCTGACCCCTTGGTGGGTAAGCTTGGAAGCTGAGGCTTCTTGGGTTTTCAGCAGGCACTTGCAACATGGGCCCCGGCCCCACTTGGGACATTGCCGTTTTTCGGGGTTTTGTTGCTGGGTGCACAGTGGAACGTAATCCAACATTGCATCCCATAGATGCATGTTGCCACGCCATTGCTCATCTTGGCCACATCCCCACTAGCCGTGCCATAATCCACAGTCACCGTTGGCAGTCAGAAGCTCAAAAGCACCCCAAGACACTAGTTCAAGGAAGGCGCGCTGCTGATGTCAAATTGGATGCGTTGAGGCGGCGCATGTTTCGCAGAGTTGTGGGACGGCCAGGTTTGATGACAAACATTGGCGGACGGATGCAAGGTTTCTGACGTTGGGCGGCTCGGTGCCGGCAGCATTCCAGATGTGTGTTTTTCCAGATTTGGTGGCCATTCTAGCCACCAGTGTGTCCACGTTGAAATATTCCACATAGCCAACTCATCATGGCCATCAAGGCCAACACCGGTCGGCATGGTTGCGCGCCCTAAGCATTTATCACCCCAAAGGATCCATCTTTGGGTGCGATTACTATGTTGGAAACATGGGAGGCTTTCTTCGAACCTTCTATGGCCAGGAACGTCGCATGAGTGTCCTGCTCAACCCGGACCCTTCTTCAATTTCCGCCCATTCGAGTCGACGACTACGGTCCTGTAAGGACACCGGCAACCCAAGAATCGCATTGACGGGCACAATTGGACAAATGCTTGCGCTTCGGCAAGTCATAGCAACGGGCGTTGCGCTACATCTAACCACACTTCTTGGTGAGTTTTTCGAAAATTTGATAGCGAATCCCCCCATCTGATTGCAGGCCGGCCCTGCCGACGACTTGGTTTTGCTTGGACATTCATCTGCCATTGTTGTGTTGGACCGCATCTCAACAATGATGTGGGCCAGCATTTTCCCCGAGATCACAAGTCCAAATGCGGCGACGCCAACCTGCCAGCACACCAGCAAGGGCTCAAGGTCCTGGGCCTCCCAGTCGGCAGCGTTGAGTACATCCCAGTCGGCAGCATTGAGTACATCCAAGCAGAGCTCCGTCAGCTTCAGGCGAAACAACAACCATTGTTGGAAGTGCTGCCCGACATCCCAGACCTCCAAACCAGTTGGTTGCTCCTTTTGTACTGCCCGTCGCCCCGAGTCCATTACGCCCTGCGCGGGATTTGCCCTGACCTCACCAAGCATTTTGCCACAGAACGCGACAACGCAGTGCACACATGTTTAAGACGGTTGCTGCAACAGCCCAACGAACTGCCCCGGCCAGCCATCGACACCGCAGCAGCCCACTGGGCCTCATGGCAGGACCCCACGCCCATCCTCCGCCAGAAAATGCCACAGGTTTTTGACACGATCCAACAGCAGATCGAGAACCCAGAGCTACCATCCCTCCAATGCCTGCAACACGTCACGGCTTTTCTCACAAGCCTGGGGCTAGACGCCCCGCCCTGCACCCAATGCCAGCCAGCACCACCGGCTCCAACATCACCCCATGACCACGCAGACACCCTCCGAGGATGGCAACGACACGCCTCCCACATCACCGACACAGCTCTCAAGCAGGAACACATCGCCCATTTTACAGCTCCCTCACAACATCTTTTGGAATCCCAGTGCGGGCCATTGGCGGCAAGAATTTTCACCCTGTTCCCTGTCTCCCATGAGCTCGTCTTGGATTCGTCTCACTTCCGCCTTCTGCTCCTCCAGCGTCTTCGACTGCCCTGCCCTTCATGCCAGCGCGCTGCCGATGTCAACAGCCGCTGGATCCGCCACCCGCCATGATGAACGGCGGATAGAGGTGATAGCAAATGGCCTTCCCCTTTGGAATGGCTTCCAGCTAGCGGTCGACCCTGCCCGCCGATCTGTGAGCTCCTGACTTCTTACACAGACGGTGCGCCCACTCCCAGCCGCCTGCCCTCATCCACCACCGTGGATTAAGCACAGCTGGACCCTGGCCAGTAGAAAACATTATAAAACAGGGTTTCGTCTCACCCCCTGTCCTGCGGGAAAAAGATTTGCGGTTGTGTGCGGAATGTGTAGCCGGCCCGCTGTGACGAACACGGTCGCAACTCTGAGAGACACCTGCCGCTGGAGAAGAAAAAAAGTGAAACAGTGAGCAATTCACCTGAGGAAAAGGGATTGTGAGCCCCAATTTGAAAGAAAAATGTGTTCAACTAGTTCAACCAAAGCAACAAGCCAAGGATGGATCTGATGCGCAGAAAACATTTTCCTGCAGCGTGGCAATGGCTTTGGCATTGGCTCAGGCACTTGGACAACACCCCAACTTCAACCAGAACCTTTGCATGATGAAACAATTTTTGCAACTCGAGTACATGGTGATGCAGCTGGCAAAGCGACCTAGCCAAGTGGCCTGAAGACGGCCACACTGAGCAGGTGTGCACCACAGAAGCTCAAAAAATATGCCAAACTTTCTGTGACGGACATCTCCATTCAGAAGCAACAAAGTTTCTCCCAGGAGCAGGTCTTGGCCACACGATCCCGCACGCGCAAGCACAGATGACACCCAACCAATGGAAGTCGATAAAGTCACCGATTTGAGAGGAGAAGGCGAAGGTGTTGCAGCAACTGCCGCACCTCGACGACTTACAAGCATCATGGCTCTTGGTCCTGCACGCGGCCAGCCCCCGCAGCAACTTTTTGTTGCGAATGCCACCCTTCCATTGGCAGAAGAAGGAGGACTGGCTCCTCTCCGGCCACCTGTCTGGTTCATGCCGCCCACTGGGCCTCATGGGCGGATGCAGTGGCAGTCATACACAATCAAGTGCCCGATCTCGCAGCAACCTTGCTACAACAACTGTCAAACCCCACCACAGCACCAAAACAGTTCCAAGCCGTCAGCCAAACAACCGAGCACATCCAACAACACGGCTGGAACCCACCAACTTGGGAACACCTGCTTGCTGTTGATCCTCCTCCGGCACCTCCGTCAAGACTGGACGGGGTTCTGCAGCAAGGTTGGCAACGGCAAGCCGCAGCACCTTTCTTCTCTGGACCCGGCAGGACAAGCCAAGCTCCAGTCCCAATCAGGCCCATTCACAAGCCGAGCCTGCACAACCATCCCATATTCATATTCACCAGAAGTCACATACTCTCCCCAAATCTTCGGATTGCTCCTGCTCCGCCGCCTTCGGCTCCCCCTACCCCTGTTTGAGCGCACTTGCCGGTGGCGTCGCAGTCGCACTCTTGACCCACTGGGCGACCACCGGGCAGCCTGCCCCCGTCCGGGGTGCTCCGCGCCCACGGAGCGCCACTCGAAAATGCGGCAGCAAGAGTCTGCAGAGAAGCCGGGGCACGAGTCACAATGCACACCCGTCTGTCCGACCCGAACATCAGCTCCGTCCAACGCTGCGACGACCGCAGGATCGAAGTGATCGCCAAAGGCTTACTTTTGTGGAACGGGTCCCAGCTGGCATCGACACAGCCCTCATTTCCCATTCGCCAGCGACGGTTGCCCACGCCGCCGAGGAGGCCAATACGCAGCAACAGCTCTGCACGACGCCAGACGAGCAAAAGAATGCACGCACCCGGAGCGGCAGGGACCCGGGAGATGTCGCTTAGTCGTCCTGGCCACGGAAGTTGGAGGGCGTTGGAGTGAGGAGGCAACCACTTTTCTCCGGCAACTTGCTCGAGCCAAAGCTCGGACAGCCTGATCGCCCAGGAAGCCTTCGCAACCTCGTTGCTTTTCTTGCCACCCGCTGGTCCTTCCAACCTGGATGGAGATCCACCACCCCTCGGTGAACTTTTGGCACAACACCTCGACATCCAAGCCGGGCCCAGCCGACTCCCACTCCTCGGCTGACAGCCTTGCCCGGATGCGGGCTCACCGTCTGGGACTTCTTGGTGGGTTTAACTTTGGATTTTCCAGGCCTGGATTCGGCGGTTCGATTTTCGGTGGGACACTTGTTGCCAGCCAGCTGAGGCGAACACAGTCGAGGTTAGGGGAGAGAGACCGGCGGTAAAAAGGTCTGAAAAAAAAGGTAAGTACAAAGGAAACAGGAGAAGACAAAAAGGTTGAGGCAGTTGGTGGCAAGAGCTTGGACCTATGGACAAGGTCGAGGCTATGGCTTCAGCGACAGGTTTATTGGCAAGTGCACCAACACAGAGCACGCTGGCACATCCTCATTTTTGCGCACAGACCAACACAATCGTCAGGAACAGTGGGCAGAGCTTACGCCATGCCATTTTCAGAGCGTAGAGACGCTGACATGCCATGTAAACTTTGTGATAACTCAATGACAAACGGCTCTTGGAATACAAGGGAAAGGAAAAGGAAAGCCTTCCATGTTGTACAGAAGCCTCCTGTTGCTGCAGGCCAAAGCTGTTCAGGAATCCAACCCCGGCCGCGCGTGTTGCAAACCGCCGTTCTGGGATTGATCTCATTGTCATGCTGTGCGGGGTAGAAAACGCACGACTGTGCCATCATCAGCAATAGTTATTCAGCCTGAATGTCGGTTTCTTTAAAACGAATTTTTTGAAAACAACGCGCAAACATAAATTCATGATGACAACATGACATTCGCGTGCTCACAACATGCTGCCAGATCGGGAAGTGAACTCCACAGGGAACCAAAATAGGGAAACAAACTTGGGTTGGATCAAACCGTGGTAGCAATTGAAGAGTTTATTGTTTCGAAATATTTCAAGTGTCGGCCACGTTTTGCCACGGGCTACGTTGCCATGTTTTAAAGCACCAGGGCAGCACCGAAACCAGGGTCATAATGTGGGCCCAATCCCTGAAGAAGACCCTCATCACATCAGCCCTCTCACCCGGTCGCCCATGAGGCAAGTCATGGTTCCCAATCTGCTCACCAGGCGTATCATTAACTCTCCCATCAAGGCTTTCATAGGCTGTCGTGCAGGGGCCACACCACCCCCCCCATCTTCTGTTCATAATTCATAAAGTAGCCATATGTAAGGCGTGCTCATTGGGGCCTGTTCGTTCTGCCAGGGCAAATGCAATTTCTGCGTTCTTGCGCAACATTGGTTTGCATGAGAAATTTTGGTTCCAAAAGTGCACAAGCTAGGGGGATGGCGAGTTTGATGACCATCCTGGCCTTGCTACTGCCATGGGTTGCGCAATCTTCGACATTTAATACCAACAACTTGACTGCTACGGCCCATGCCCCACAAAATTGGACCACTGGGGATACTGCTGGCGCACCGTCGTGGACAGAGTCGGGCTTAGTTGCTTCAAATCAAGTTTCTACCAAAAGGGTTCTGTGGGTATATTTGCGCTTTGTCCATCGCATCAAAGCAGTTGTTTCACATGGCTCCGCGCCAAACCAGCCGCCAAGGTTGTGACCTACAATCTGTATTGGTGGTGCGTATCAGATGAAACAGGGAGGTGTCCACAATATGCTGGTGGCAAAGGTTTCGCGCAGATTTATGCGAGATTACAGCAAAATGGGCCTTTTGACCTCATCGGCTTCCAAGAGTGTGACAATGTAGGCTGGAGGGAGCTGTTCGCCTTGTGGCGCACTTTCACGTGTGACATTACAAAATGTTCTTTAGTATGGTTTAGTAACCTCGGCCTTCAAATTCTCGTGCTAAGCGGCAGGGCAAATTGTCGCCGGCACCAGCCTCACTCCGAATTTTAAGTACTTCACTCCTCCAGCAGGCAGATTCGGGCAACAACGCGTCAAGTTGTGTGAAGGGATTGTTGCATCACATGTTTGGATTAGGGCTGGAATTCACAATTGTGCCGGGACCCAGTCTGGACCTTGCAACTGCCCCACCCGTAGATCAGGAGATGTCCATCGAACCATTGAGAAAACCAACTCCAGTTCTCTGGAAGGACAGCCTGAATCTCCAATGGTCAGGCAACGACGCGCCGATGGCTTGGAACGGTGAAAAGTTCACGGCCATTGAAGGTCCAGGTGTGGTGTGGGTCGCCAGGCGCGGTTCCAGCGGCATGAGCAGAAGCAGCGGTGAATTCAAACGATCATGTAGATTTTCACAATTGCTTGTGAATATGTGTATGTGCATTTAGTTTGTTCACCAATGTTGCTATTATATATATATATATTTAAGCGTTAACCTACCAAATGTGTGTGAATCCTGCTGGATGGGCTGCGGGTGTTTTGTTGTGCTGATTGGTGACAGGATTTTCTGTGTCATTTCAGTTCGTTTTTGTCAGGTATACCGGGTGTATACTGTATGTGATTTGTTTTGGGTACCAATACCTGCGTGATGGCTTTTCCAGTTACGCAGTCCGATGGGAGTGGTGTGCACAATGCATTTGTTTTTCCTCAGGGACAAGTACGGCGATCGCCATGTGAATTGGGTCAGGCTACAGGCGCGACAGTTGGATTCCAGCAGGTTGACCAGAGGTGTTTGTTGTTGGTTTGTTTGTTGTATTGTGTTTGGTTTGTCATGGTTCAGTTCTTTTTTCAATTGTCAGGTGACCACAGTGGGGTGTGCTTGTGTTGGAGGGTCACCTGACCGGCCAGGTGGTGGGCAGTAGTGAGACCATCCTTTTCGCCAACACGTGCCTCGTCCAGGAAGGCCAGCTGGGCGCAAACACTCAGTGTCAATGCGGACGGCTCCGAGCAGTAGAGCATATGAAACAACAACTTGTACACTCAAATAATTTGACTCAGATGCATCCCAAAAATATCACCTTGCCTGAGCCCTTGAAGGTTCAATCAGCCAACGATTTAAACGGAAACACTGCATGAAAAATGAGGCATGGGCCCTTGGATCAGTGCGGCGGCAAACCCGGCGGTACTGTTGCCACGAATTATGTCCCTTAGCAGCAGAAATTTGCATCGGCGCCACGAATCTGCCGCGCCCCGTGGCTTTGCCGAAGCAAGTTCATGTCAATTGAAACGTGCGGAACGGTCACAGCCTCAAAATGAGGAAACTGCACGTTCTCCACTTGCATTTTGGTTTGTGGAGAGGAACTGCTTTTCAGAAGTGATCAGCTGAGATTAATGCTGTGAACCAGCACAAGAAGACTAAAGACCCTTGGGCCTTGGGCAAGATTACATCTCTTCTTTGCTTTGATGCAAGAATCCTCACAGCTTTTGTTGCATTGTTTAGTTGCTTTTGTCAGCATTCTTGCAACTGCATGATGCAACCATAGGATGTGGTGATTTTTACTGGTGACTTCAACTGCGGCAGCAACCAGGACACCATCAAACAGCTGTCTGAGGCTTGCAAACAGTTTAAGTTTAACGCAGCGCAGCACGATGCCCCATCGCCTGGTTGAGTTGTGTTGTTGCAGGCCTATCAGCTGGATGCAACTCAGCCAATGCACAGGTGTTGGTCCAGGTCCAGTGTTCCAACTAACTTCCAACCGCTTTTGTTCGAGATGCGTCAGCCATGCCTTAGCACAACTTTCCATTTCAGGCTGGCCTAGTTTTGTCCACTTACTTAGGCCTGTATATAGTCCTGCGACAAAACGCCGAAGAGAGCTCAAAACTGCTCCCGCGTTTGCCATTCATCATGTGCCGGTTAAGGCCACAGACACCTCCTACAATGGGGCTGACCACATTTTCAGCAGCTCTGGATTTTCCGTCCTTTGGAAGGGTGCGAGTGCCTTGAGCAGAATAGATATGAAGATCTACTCTTGCCAGTGCGCAACTGATAGAACAGGTCGTCACCTGTAGATTGCGGACACCAGGTGGTGCAGCAATATCTACATTTTGGGGTGCCTTCAAGGTCAGAGTCTTCGGGAAGACCTAGGCCTACTACATCATTTTCCAGAGGGCTTGTGACAGTGGAGCCAAAAGTGCACTCCTTTTGCTCTTTTCCGTTAAGTCGGGAAATGTACTTCTGACTCTTAGACTCATGGTCGGTCTGTTGCTTTGTTTCTTCGGTCGACTCCCCAAATCGGTTGTCGTGGACGGATCTGGAACTCGTGGGTCTTGGTATGTGAGGGACAGGTGGGAAAGTTTCTCTCCAAAGTCTGTCATTCTGTCAGATTCATCGCTATTAGATTGGAGGCCATCGCTATTGTTAAATTAGGTTGGAGCTCTTTTTTGTCTCAGCAAGACTGAATCCTGGGTCCGTTCATGTGACCTTGGCCGAGGTGATGGCTCGCCTTCGGATCACCAGCTGCTGAAGGCAGTGGGGGTTGCTGTTCCACTGCTCCAAGACATGGTGAATGGATGGCTCTAGACTGTTGGCCTTGAAGGCCTGTTCTAGATTCTAGATGATTTGTCGCAGCACTAGGCCAGGTGACATAGAAACATGGCCAACCAAGCAGATTGAGGCTCCAAAAGCGTTTCTCTTGGATTTGATGCTTTGTTTTTGTCGGGAGGCTGTGCTGCAGTCGGGCTCCCACTCGAGGTGCCCAGTGCCACCGGACAATGGGCCACTGGCAAGAGGAAATGGGGGGCGTGCTTTGCGGAACAGGTCTCGGAGTTGGTTGCGTGAACCCCCTTTCTTATGGAAGCTGAGGAAATGATCTCAATGCTGCGCGTAGGGCGAGAAGGGTGGGAGCACGGTGGGATCACTGTGTCGGGTTTCAAAGCGCTCGAGCCTAAGGGGTTGCTGCCTCACCTGTCGTGACTTGGCAAAAAGAGCAGATGAGAGCTCGGGTGGCGGTTGGAAGGAGAGGCTACCAAACAGGGTTGGCAAAGGAATCTACCTGCCTTATGATGCCTTTCTTATCTCTCACCGCTGCGGTTTGAGTAGGCCTACTTTCGGCTGCGAATGGGCGTGTTGTAGTGAGGCTTCAACCACTACTGCCCCAGCAACAAGGCAGGTTTGGTGAATGATCGGTCCCTTCGCACCATGAATCTCAGTGTGACCTGTGCTGCAGTGACCTATAGCAGTGGCGCAGTGGATGGGAAAGAGTTCTCAGCCAGAACATGTCTTTAGTATGCTTTGTCTGTTGTGCTGGTGTAACGGCCCTTTGTCTGATAAGTGGAGGCTGAAGACTTTCTAGAACCTGATTGGCCGTCAAGCAGAGCACCCACCACCCAATTCTCCTTGTACTATGTTCTTTGACCTTTCTGTGCTGTTGTTGGGAAATGGCAGGGATGCTACGCGAGCGGCCAAAGTGGCTGCAGCGGAGGCTACTGCCCCGCCCCTCCAGAGGAGAACTGGCTGCACAGTGCTGTGATTGGCCAAGGGACCAGGATCGAACCTTGTGAGAACAGGTTGACAACAATAAGGCTTTGGAAGGCATTACACTGACTGACAGTTTTGGACTGATGGACATTTCCTGCGACTCCCCACACTTCTCTCCAGGTGGAGATCGTCGTATAATTTGAGCACTTCAGAGCGACAGCTGAGCGCTTGGCTCACTGGAAAACAGTCTGACGCTTTTTGTTCTGCAGGCTGCGAACGACAGGCTCTAGTCTACCTAGCCTATCTCTGAACATCCTGCCAGCACTTTGATACCTGCAAACTGTTCTGCTGTTTTAGCATACGCTTGGCTTAAAGACAGTTTAAGCTTGCACGAGCAGAGTGCACAAAATCAGACCATAATGGACGCGCTGCCCTGAACAAAAACACGATGGTAATTCCAAGCATGCTAGACCCTCATGTAGGTGGTTGGGAGGATCATATTGTTTTGAGCATTAGTTGTTTTTGCGCTTTCTCGTGTGAAAGTTTGCGCTAAAGAAGCAGCTTCAACACCACACAACTGACCAACGGTGGTGCCAATGCAGAATGGCAAACGTGACTTTCAACCACCGCCGCGCGACGCCCAGAATGCATGTACCGGAGCATTGAGCAGTGATGGTTTTGGCAAGTGTGGTTCCAGAACACTTGCGGGCCACAGTATGGGCAGGGAACTGATGATCAACAACTGATGCCTTCATTCAACTGAGACTTTGTGGCTGGGGTGCCATATGTAAGCTGCTTGAAGTTGTGGCAAGCATTTGTCAGCATGTACCACCTTAGATTAGGAGAAACTCCATGGTCTCCAGTGCCACTCTTTAGCCGTCTGGTGGCATCATGCTGGGTTTGGAGGCGCACCAGCGGCTGGGAGGTGGAAGGCGACTTTGGTGAGTGGGTGCGGGCCCCAGATGCTCCCCACCAGAAATCCACAGAAAGATGGTGTGAAATCATAATCGAAAGAATCCTCTCAGCGCTTCTTCTTGATGGAGCAGGTGGACATGGGATCCTGCCCCATTGTGTGTTCTCTACTTTTCAGGAGGCACAAAGCAAGGACACACAAGGAATACATGTATGATACGTCTTCCACGGTTAAAAGCAATCTCCACATGGCCCATGGAGTGGGGCTTCGGCAGTGATGTGAGGTCCCCGTCGACCGAACCACAGAGGCCGTCCGTGCCGCGTTTGGTTTGGACCTGGGAAGGGTGGTGAGGGGAGCGATGTGGGACGCTGGGGAGCGTTTTGGAGGTGGCTTAAAACGGAAGCGGGGGGTCCATTCACCCTCCTAGATCAAGAGAGGGTGCTTGCATGTGCTTCTTCAGCTTTTGGGTTGCCGCTGATCGCTTAGACCCGCTGCTAACTTTTAGGCTCAGGGAGCCGTGGTATCTTTGAATAGATGTGCTCGCTGAATTTCAACGTCTGGGTGTCCCCCACATGGGGTTGATTGCGGCTTGGCTGGCATTGGGGCCCGAAAAGAGTGTGAATCTATTGCCTCAGTAGCCTGAGTCAAACAATTGAGATGCTGGAGTTTTGCTTCCAAAGAAAGAGGGAAACAATATATCAATGCACCGTAATGCACCTCAAAATGTGCATTTTTCTTATGTATGTAACTGTATGTATTCTTATGTGATGTTTGAGCCTGGGCGCATGGTTGCTGCCCAGGCCTGGCTTCAAGTTGTACGAGATTCACAGGCGGGCTGTAGGTGATGGGGGGAAGTTCTGCTTTTGGTGAATCACTGAAGGGATGGACGAATGCATCCCGACGTCGCAGGCAGCCCAAGCTGCAAACATGGATTTCTTAGCATTGCTAGATCAAGGCGCGTGGTGGTAGAACTGCGAGCTGAGACTGTCAGTTGCTGGTCCTGGCACTCCTGAAGAGGAAGAAAATGGAGACAGTCCATCTAGATTGATATATATATATACTGTACCCATCTTCACGCACACACACACATACATACACATTGATATATAAATATATATATATATATATTTATAGATATTCAGATATGCACATACATAAATTGAGGTCTTTGTTTTCTCCTAAGGTTACTGTAGGACTCATGAAGGACTCGTGATCCATTGTTCCTGCGATATGTCACGTCCTTCAGAAGAACCGCAAAAGTAATTCTTCATTGTTGGCGACTTGTTGTGCAGATGTCCTGTACCAGCGACGCGTTGGGGTCCTGTTGATCACGGTTGACGGGTGGGGCGCAGTCAATTTCCAGGACTCAGCTTCGCGAATGTGGGTTGGTGGCTGGTCTTGATGTGCCTTGCGATGCACCGATGAAGAGGAGGAGTAGACTAGACACTGTCATTTGCATGTTTGGAATCATTGACCTAGCTCTGACAAAGACTGGCCATGACTGGATGCTCAAAAAGTTCATGAAAGCTCCCCGCTGCTACATATTTTTTGTCAGCCTCCTCACAAGGTGCACAGAGTAGTTCCCCAAAGTCGGGTGGCCTTCTGCGTACGGACCTGAAAGTGCCTTACACCTCCAAGGTTTATCGTCGCCTTCCTCGCAACAGCGGTCACACGCCCAACGCGCAGTGGCCTCCAGGCTGCAGGAGGTGATTTGAGGCTGGTGCCGCTGAGCCTGGAGACCATGCGGACCACGTGGAAGACTCCGAAAGCGCCGTTTTGCTGCCAAGGTGTTCGCAAGATTCGAGCACCTTCCAAGTCCCAAGCACCGGACGATGTGACCAAGGAACTCGGGGGGCACGGCAGGGTGTGGAAGGGGATGGGTCTTCTGCTCGGTTGTGGAGCAGGGGTGTAACACTCTCCCGTTTGGGTTCAAGCGATTTGAGTGTTACACCCCTTCCGCTCAACGATCGAATCTTTCGAGCTGCGACCTGAATCCTCTGCGGGGGTTCACGGTGGTTTGTTCGCCACCCGGGCCATGCCTGGGTGCTCGAAGCGGGAGGACTACATGGAGGTCCATTTGGAGCGATTGGATCGCGGCGAGCCGTGGGGACTTGTTTGGCACGTGCAGGGCTACAAAGCGCAGACGCTCGGGCCAGCATTTGCTAAAGTGATTCTAGTGCCACCCATGAAAAAAGCATGCGGATTGCTCTCAAGATCATGTGCTTGATTGTGAACATGGTAGCATGTTGTGCCGCACTTTTCCTTTCTGGTTGCTTGTTCTTCAGCCCAGCCATGGTTGGAGAAAAATCTCGGGGACCACCGTGCACCACGTTGAGGAGATTTCTGATTGCCGGGTTGGAGCCCAAGTCTCCAGCAGGACGCGCACGCTTGCGGGCACAAGGTGTGGGTCGAACCTCCGGGTTGAAGGGAGACGTGCGAGTGGATGAGCTTTTTGAGCTTGTTGAAGAAACTCGGATTGCACATGTCACGTGGGTGCAGAGGATTGCTCCTTCAAGGATCTTCAATGGTCATGCTGAGCTCCCACCCAATCCTTTTCGGCGGTTGATTTGGCCCATGCTTCTGAAGTGTCGTCCCACCGGTTCAAACACTCGTCGGCCGAGTATGCGCGCGTACTCGGCCGCCACGCAGGCCGTGGCCTCCGTCGAGGGGATGAACTCCTGAGTGTCAACGGGAAGTGTCAGTTCCAGTTGATGTGCCAGGCCACGCTGCATAGGAACAAGAAGCTACTAGGGGCTCCTGGCATCGCGACTAGTGACTAGGACCAAGGACGCTCCTAGGGGCTCCTGGCCGTACTACTAGGAGCAAGGACGCTACTAGGAACAAGAAGCTACTAGGGATGCGAGATCCTGTTGTGTAGCCGAGCCAGTGGTAGAAATAAGACACGAAAGCCTGACAGAGCCTGTGACCTGCATTCCCCGTGAAGAAGATGGTTGGGATTGGTTTGGCAGATATAGTAGTGGTGGTGCCATACTAAGATTTGGTCCGCATGCCATTGGGTAGAGAAGGCTCATTCTAAGCTTAGCCCGAGTGGTGGGAGTCGATGACAGCCTGATCGCCGATCCAGGAGCTTGCAAGTGCACAGAAGTTGTCCCTTCAATTCTTGAAGGCGGAGGTGGTACTTCCCTTGGAGAGCGAGTCGGAGGTTGAAGCTTGGACGGGGTCATTTCACTTGTTGGCACAGGGGGGCGCAACATCAGGACTAGAGGGTTGCAGACTCTGTGAAGCTAAGGAGGTGAGCTCTTCCTCATCTCGAAGTCCTTCCCAAAACCGCACGGAGGAGATCCTCTGTGAGAAGGAGGCGACGCCTGAGAGCCAAAGCGAAACGGAGCTGGTTTCTCAGAGCTTCACAGTGGAGGTGAGCCAGACTCAGATGAGCTCCGCCAGTGGCTCCGGCTCCGCATCCGGCTCCGCATCGCGTGGGCGCGATGCGGCAATCAAGCGGGCGGATGGTTTGTCCAAGGAGAGGAGGAAGCTGCGAAAGGGGGAAGCCTTTCATTTCTCGAACAGTGCCTCGGGCTCAGGATCAGGCTCAGAGCAAGCCTCCGGCGCGAGTAAGTGCCCATCCACCGATTGGGAATACATGATGGACAACAGGCCAGGCAGTTTGATGCACACTGAGCTTCCAAGCAGGATAGATGCCAGGCACCTACCGCAGCAGCCCTCCAACAATGTGGTGATAGTTGCTGGTTCACAAGCGATTGCCTTGCAGACGGCCAGTGCCTTCGGGACAGTCGTCGGTGGAGGAGTGTTTCCCATGCAGGTTCGGGGCCGACAGCTGCCAATCCTGCCATCTTCCCAAATGGCAGCGGCTCCAATGATTGAGACATGCTACGAGCCCGGCTTAGATCCACCGTTTCCTCCAGTGCCTGAGCCAGCGCGGCAGACTCGCCGCCAGGCCTCCAAAGACTCGTCTGGGAGCTCTGAGGCTCCGCTTCGAGCGGGCAGTGCTCCACCGGGTGGATGCTCCATCGAGGCTCCGAGCCCGCCGCCCCAAGCAGTTTCGCTCCGCCCGAAGCGCACCTACCGCTCAGGCAAGAAGGTCCGTGCCAAGCGCACGCGCGCAGCCATTAGGGCCATGGCCACCGGGGAGCTGCCCCAAGCCAAAGAGCCGTCCACAAGCACGGTGCCCGAACCAATGCCTGCCGTACCGGAGGCCAAACCCAGAGCCGCGCGCTCAGGCAGCGCACCACCTACGGCTCATCGAGGAGTACCCAACCCAGAGCCGGAGGAGGCACGTTTGTTCAACAAGCCAAGAAGACGCGCAGGCAAGAAAGTGCGTCAACGCCCCTCGGACTTTTAATCTAATACCGGCTAGCGGCCTTGTGGTGGGAGGTCTTTGATTTGATCACGAAAGCTAGCATCAGCTAGCTGGAGTTGCTCTTGCTTTAGCAAGTCAAGGGCTCGCAGCCTCGAGAATCATGAATCACCTGAAAACTTCACGTGTAGGGCCCCCCCCCCCCCCGCGGGTTCAACTCCCCCCTGGGACGCTTCCGGTACGTGCTATAGTGCTATGTTTAGGTGGCAGGTGAAGTAGGCCACTGTTTGAGTTTGGAAGGGGGGGCATGAAACATGAAATTTACGCGAGGGTTCAAGGCTTCAATGATGAGCACCACGGGAAGTCAGAAACCAGGCGTATCAGATACACGTGCCTTTGAGCTTCCTTCGGCATCTCAGTGCATATGGCTGACACTTCACTCGACAAAGATGCTCAAACAAACATACATAAACCAGGTGTATCTGATACGCCTGGTTTGTGACTTCCCGTGATGCTCATGATGCTGCGTTGCTTTTCTTCAGTCCCTCATTACATATACATGACGATCGGGGACTTCAATTCTAAGGTTGGCTGTGTCATTGCTGCTTGTGTGTCTTACATGTTCACAACGTTTTACCTCATGAGCATTTGCCTCACTCCGCTTGATGTCCCACCAGTCGGGATGCACCCCTGCTAGCTTTCGTCACCTACCCTCGGCCTCAAGTTTGACCACGGAGACTGATAGTCTTTGTTTGCCAAATGCGTCCCAGGTATGGAACATGCCATCGCTCGCCGCCGCGAGCAAGCACTGATGGCCGAAGCTGCTGAGAGTTGCAGGCTTGGACCGAAGCTGATGAGCACCGGTTCTGCACTTGATCCAATCCCAGATGGTCCTTTGTAAGCTTCAATGCTTGTTGACTGTCGTGTAATGAAGTCGGTCCAGTTTCGATTTTTGGTTGGATCGGCCTCCTTCGCCCCGCGATCGCCAGGATGGTCTCCGACGATGAAGCGCCCCACGTCGCACCGCGTCCCACGGGCGCCGCGCCGTCGGCGGCGCGCGCGGCGGTGACGCGGTCGGTGATGGCGCGCGCCGCGAAGCGCGCCGACTCGCCGGTGTCCACGGTGTCCACCGCCATCTCCACGGCGGCGGCGACCGTGTCCGCGGCAGCCAGTAGCAGCACCGCCGGCACGTCCGAAGGACAAGGCGAGCTGAGAGGGGGTGTGCATTGGAGCTGAGGTGAAAGAGGCAAAACGAGGACAGTTCGTGACATTTGAGGATGAGCACAAATGAGGTCTTAGGGAGGAGTTTCAAGCATGTTCTGCTTCGCGGTTCTCTTTTTATCTGCGCATTCTTGAACAGGAGTGATGCCAAGGCGCAGCTTCTACGTCCGCCGCCCGCTACCTACAATGGCCGAAGGGGCACCTGAGACAGTGCCTTGCCTCTATCAGGGGTTAGTGAGGGAGGTCAAGTCTTTTTGAATTCTATTCTTTTTGTTTCTTAGTTTTATAAAATTTGGGTGCTGCGGTGCTACTGCCAGATATCTCAGATATTGATGGCAGTGTGCGCTCTTTTGAAGGCTTTGGAGACTCGGTGCTGATCACGTGTGTGCCGAACAAAAGAGGGAAAACATGCCAACAAGAACACACTTTGGTGCTGCCCTAAAATATTTTGTGCTATTTGGGGTCTCTTGGCTTTGGTGGTTTTGGCTTTGGTACCTTCTGTGACCTTTGTCGCTTGGGTCTTCTGTGGCTTTTGGGTTGTCTGGCTTTGGTGGCTTCTGCGGCTTTGGGCTTTTGGTGGCTTGTGTAACTTGTGCGGCTTTGGGTTGGCTCGGTTTCAGATGCCTTGCTTTTGGGTCTCGTGGATTTCGTTGGATTTGATGGCTAGGTTTAGATATATAACACCTTCTTTTGTTGGCATTTTGTAGCTTGGCACTTGGCCTGTTCTTGGGGGGAGGCGCCTTGGCCCTCCCAATCCCTACCAGCTTGCGCCTTAGCCAAGTCAACAACAAACCACAGCCGGACGAAAGCCAAGCCCAAGCAGTTGAGGGTAGGGGATGACCTCTCAGCACCACCGAAAAACAGAGGCACCAGGGGGCTGCTGGGAATGCTCCTGATTAGCCCCCCCCACGGGAAGCAACTGGTCTACGAAAAGGACAAAAGTAAAAAGTCCAAAACTAACATTGCAGCCTCTTATGAGGGTGGCACTCTTGTTGAGCAGGCATGGCTCAACGGGAACTTCGCCTTGGCAAAACAGGAGAAGATCCTGCACCAATGGGGTGTGCTCCTTTAGATAAGAGAAAATGGGAAGATCTAGCTGACGTCATTCCCTGCATACAGTCGTAGTGATCAAGCTCCCCAACAAAAGGGTTTGTCATCCAAGAACTATCTTGACAAAGGGGGTCCTAAGTCTCACCCCGATATCATCCGATGGGAGTTTTTGGGCATCGGAGAGCGCTGCCATCCGAGGCCAAGCGACGGGGAGATGGTTTCATCGTGAAAGGAGAGATGCCCAGCGAGGCGCGGGACGAGCGGTGGGACGAGCGGAGGAGAAGAGGAGAAGACCAGATCTGACAGAAAACATGCACCGAAAAAGCACCGGAGTGGTGCCGACCCTTTTCCGGAGTGGTGTTTTTGAGTGCGGTATAGGCATGGACGCATCAATTGGCGGGTGTCCTGGTAAAGGGCACCTGAAGTAGTTGCAAGACGTAATGCATTCACGCTTAAGTCTAAGACTCAATTCTTCTAGTAGGCTGGCTTCTTCTCAATGCTGAAGTGCCCCCTGTAGGGGTGAAGTGAGGGTGGAAGATGCTCACAATTGGACCTATTCTTCTGAACTTGCAAGCCAAGTTAGGGAGTTGCATTTGTGCTCGACCTGTTGGGCACAGTATGAAGTCATGGAGACATTCATCGCCAAGCCGGAGCGCTTGTGGAGGTTGGGCAGGCCGTCTTCCGAAAGGCCTGGCAGCCATCCTTACGTGCCTCGGTCAGCAAAGATGTTTGGAGACTAGTGACTTGACTAGAGACTGGTTGAGCATGAACTTCTAAACATGCTTTGTCCAGTCGCAATTCAGAAAACTGCCCTTGGTAGAAGATAAGAAGAAGAAGAAGAAGAAGAAGAAGAAGAAGAAGAAGAAGAACCACTGAAGTGAGAGGTCCAGTGTGTTTGATGCGTCCTGATTGCAGGCTGCGGAGCATAGAGAATGTTGTGACCATAGCTGAAGAACCGCCCTGTGACGGGCTCTGCCCTCACACTGGCATGCAGTTCCCAGACGCTTCACCTCTCAAATTGTGAGAGTTTGTCATATACCTCATCCCAGAGCTGCTAGACTTGAACCCACCACAAGGAGAGGATTCTATGACACATGGTGAGGTGGGAACTGTTTGTGCTTGTTTCTTTCAGTCTTGCTGAGCTGTAAGAGGTCTTCTTCCTACAACTTGGCCCCCCGCAATAAGGTCGAAACTTCCAACGGCTGAGTTCTTCCTACAGGTTAAGAAGGCCTTACTACTAGGAGCAAGGACGCTACTAGGGGCTCCTAGCATCGCTACTAGGACCAAGGACGCTACTAGGAACAAGAAGCTACTAGGCTTGATGACTTACGGAACTCAGCGATGAAGATTCAAGGACCCGTACAGCAAGACGAACCGACATGCCAACAGTGCCAACAGTGCCAAACGCGGCTCCTTTCAAAGCGGCCATAGCAAACCAGATTTTACTCTTCCAAGTTATCTTCCTTTTGGGTGGTTTGTGAGTGCTTCAGTTTCCACTTTCTACACTGCACCGCTTGCTTTGGAGCCGTATTTCAATGGGGAGATCCTGCGTGTTTCATGATGAACAGGGCCCTTCCCTCCTCTGGATGCGCTTGCGGGCATTCAGCCCGCAACGCACCCGGCTGTATCGCAGACTTGCACTTGAGGTGCAAGGTCGATCCTTTGGACTCTTGCTATGTTTAGGTTTAGGCCAACTCATGTGGAATTAGTCTTCACAGTACTTCACAGGGTCTCAGATTCTTAAAGTATTCTACATTTGCCTTCATGCAGCTCCTGTACCTTGCATCTCGGACAGGATCTCATTTTCTTGCGCTCTGATCTGGAACTGACAGGAACTTTCATCCAGAAGTGCTCACCCCGGGAAAGAAGCGCGGCTCATGGATTTGTACCATACTTTGAACTAGAGGATCCTCCAGTTTGCTTCAGTTTTCCCATGCCCTTGTGCCTTGCACGACGCATTGAGTGGATTATATATATATATATTTGTGTACACATGCTCTAGTGTATTTGCATAGGTTCAAAATTTTTTGTATATGTATCCTTCTTCCTGTTTTGCATTTTTGTCCGGAAGGTGTGGTGCGAACCTCACGGCATTGTCGGAACAGAGAGTTCATGGCTCTAAGTTGATGTGGAGGAACAGGAATTGGGTTTCATCAGCACTCTGGAAAGACAGCAAGAAGTAGATTTTTCAACCACGGCCCTGGGCCCGGCCCAAAGCACACGTGTCGGCAATCCGCGTGACGAGCAGCTGGTGAGCAAGCATTGGCAAGCATGCCTTTTGGCAAGGAATAGCTGTTGACGGATCCGCTGACAGGGTCGCCGAGGTGCACAAGTTGATATGTCTTAACTACAAAAGGTAGCAGGTGAATTTACTAATAGCTTCTTGTTACTACTAGTAAGGCACTTGTTCCTAGTAGCGATGGGTGGCAGGTGGCAGGTCGCCGTCCCAGTCACAGACGGATGCGCGGCGTAGCTGGCTTTTGGATCGCCCTTCCACGAGTGTCTTCGTGCGACTTAGGACGGATATGATCCACCTGGTGCAGCAGGTGCCGAGGGGAATACTGTAGATTTGGAACACTTTGAAGCCATTATCTTTTTCAGAGAGGTGTCCTATATGCTGTCGTATGTCCCAGTTTCTGCCTTTTTTTTTGGGACCTTGTTCTGCTTTTGTGCGGCTCGCTTCGGTCGTGTCCCGTTCCCGCTGGGACGCCGGGACGGGACACAATGACCGGAGACTCCGTCGCAGTGGTCGACCCATTGGATCAATGAGGTGCTCCAAAAACAGGAGACTGAGCCGGCTGTGAGGTACTATCCTATTTTCTACATGATTCATTTTTGGCACTATTTTGATAGTGAGGTACAATTTCCAGTGCGCCAGTGAGTGCTTGATCAGTGTCCGGTGTCCAGCTATGTCGCTATTTTTTGCTATTTTCCTAGCAGACCTGCTTACAGGGCAAGGGGCATGTGGAGGGATCAATTCACTCTCTTTGGTGACTTCGGCGCTAAACACCAGTCCTGTTTCTTCGTAGAGCCGGAGCTAGTTTCACTTCCAATCGGTGGGATCCCCGAACCTCATGACATTCCTGGGGTATCCAGTTTGTTCATGTTTGTGGGTGCCAGGGGCCCCCGAACCTCATGACATGCCTGGGGTATCCAGTTTGTTCATGTTTGTGGGTGCCAGGGTCCAACAACGAGATGACCCAAATTCGTTTGCACTGGCCATGCATCGTTCAGAGGTACAGATTTGTCATAAATGTAATTAATGTAGGGATGCTGGCCCGTTGCCGAACATTCATCAACATTCAGAGATGTGAGAGCTCCCTCTTCTATGTTCATGTCGCGGTGTAAAGAAGCTCCCTGCTTTCGACAGCTCCCAGTTGCGCCAAATCAATTGCCTTAGGAACAAGGACGCTACTAGGGGCTCCTGGCCTGACTGCTAGGAGCAAGGACGCTACTAGGAGCAATGGGCATCGCTATCCTTCAGCAACTCTTGGGACTGAAGAGTCCGCAGGTGAACCACCGCACGCATCCGAAGGCCCTGGAATCTGACCTGGGCAGGCCAGAGGGCTGTCGAGCGGGCAAGTGCTGGCAATACCAGGCCTCCGAGTCACATGGAGCCAAGAACGAATGCTCACTTGGGTTGATGGGTTGGATGGTCGTGGTTCCTCCCCAATGCCCCAATGCATGGGGCAGGTGAAAATGCAATTCTAAAGGATACTGCAAAAAGCCCTGCTGCCCACCGCGTTGTTGGCTAGGAAAGCCTTTGGCTTTGGACGCGAGGACCAGGGGTATGGAGATGGGGTGGTTTCTTGACACTACAGCGAGCAGAGCGGACTTTGCTGGGAAGTTTTGAGATGACCACGGGAGTCAAGAGACAATGAAGGTTTTGTTGATGATGGGCTTTCTTGATTGATTTTAATTTTGGGAAAGCAGCAGTTATATTATGTTATATTTAATTGGTTGCAGAGCCGTAAACCACACAGCAGAACGGGATGTCAGATCACGTGCCCAACACGAACAGCAGCCAGGACTTGGATGGTGGGGCGAGCTACTACGAGGGCGAGTTCAAGCTCTTCTTGAGAAGTGGTCATGGAACACTCGAAAACACCGAGATGCCCAGCATGAATCATGTCCGGGCGTCCTGCAAATGACATGTATATATATATATATATATGTAATGTAGTTGATAGTATGCAACATATAACATAGAATACATTTTATCAATGCTGTGTATATTGGCATATATATATACACACACGTGTGTTTCTTGGGCATATCTTAGTTGAATGAACACGTCATGCACATCCGGCCACGGAGAATGAGCCGAGAACGATTAGAGAGGAACTGAGAACGAGCATTGCCTCAGCCCTCTGAGGACCGGGCACAAGTATGTGGGAGAGTTTATCGCGGACAAACGCGATGGCAAGGGCAAGCAGATGTGGCCGGAAGCTCTGGTCTAAGAGAAGTGGAGGTGGCAGGAAGTGGGTGTGTATGAACCGATTGGGGGCTCTCCCTATTCAATGCACACTTGAACAGTGCATGGAGTTGAGCAGTTGAATCCCATTGACTGAATCGCTTCCCACCTTTCTGTCCGGTGCACCGAAGTGCTAGCATCCAACGGACAATTGGATGGATACCGGAGTTGAGCTTTTTGAAGGTCTGAGTCTTCGTCCAATGGTGGATTTCGAAGTTTGATGATGGCTGGAAAGAGGTGTAGGCGTAGGCTATTTCGCGGTGCCCGGTCGAAGATTCAGGCCGTGATGCACTGTCAAGGGCTGTTTTGTGCGGGTTGGAGACTGCCGCTTTCCGACCACTGCATGGCTCGCAAGTAGCGGTTGTAGGCCACCCCCGTCGTTCTGCTGTTCCACTCCAGTTCACCGGCTATTTGAGTCGCTGAAGTCGATCGCCATGCGCCGCGCTTGGTGTTTGAGTGCTTTGGTCACGGCCAGTGGCAAGGCGCGAGTTCCTTCCGGGGGGTGAGGGGGAAGCCCGTGGCGGGTGTGGAGCGGGTGTCGCCCTAAATCGTGTGGGATGGGACCCTTAGGAGCGTTCGGACGCTATGAACGGGGCTCCTGGCGTCGCTACGGGCGTAACGAGGACGCTACGAACGAGGTGGCCGAGCGGGGGGAGATGGCACCGAGGTCTACTTCTCCGAGACCTTTGGTGATGGCTGGGAGAGCCGTTGGAGTCCCAGCGAGTGGAAGAAGAGCGATGGCACCCAAGGAACCTGGAAGCTGTCAGCCGGCAAATGGTTCGGCCTTCTGGCTGCACTCATTACCCCCTTTAGGCATTGTTGGCTGTTGGCCAGTGCTTTCGTTATCTTCGTGATTTCATTTTTGTGGGGCCACATGACTATTGTGCTGGCTGCCATGCATTCTCGAAGTAGTGACGTAGCGACGCAGTGTGTAGATTTCTGGGCCTTCCCGAGCTGTTTTTGCATGTTTTTGCTGCTTCTTTGGTGAACGTCACCCGAGTCTGTCTAGATTTTCTATGGACTATCAGTTGCTATTTTTACTGCATGAGGCGATGAGAAGGAGGATCAAGGTGTGCAGACCGCGGAGGACTCGCGCTTCTTCGGGCTCTCGGCCGGTTTCGACTCGTTCAGCAACGAAGGGAAGGAGCTGATCATCCAGTACCAGGCCAAGTACGAGAAGGACACCCGTGCTGAGTCTGAAAACGGAGGAAGGTGAAAGAGTAGCATATATATATATATGTTCATGCATATGTGTAACACATAGATATGCACACACACACACACATATATATATATACACATATAGTTATGAATAAATACAAATGATGATTATATGTGTTGTCCTCGAAACGCTTCATCGCCACTGCCAGACTGCGATTCCAGCTGGAGTGACGCGTGCCATTGATCGATGGCTTGGAATCCCCCATCAGATGAGGTGTGACCTGCCAGGACATTGAGTGTGGTGGTGGCTATGTGAAGGTCGGTCCCAAGCTGAGTGATCCCGCGAGCTTCGGAGATCCCACGCCCTACAACATCATGTTTGGCCCGGACAAGTGTGGGTACACGAAGCGCACCCACCTCATCTTTAATTACAAAGGCAAGAATGTGCTGAAGACTCTGGGTCAAAGCTCAGGAAAATCTTCTTGATGGGTCAAATGATATTTTTCCTAGTTCAGTGAGGTGTGTTGGTGATGTCCTGTGCCCACACTAGGAAGTCTGACCTGGCTTACAAGCAGGAGGGTGAAGGCACCAGCCATGTGTACCGCTTGATTTTGAAGCCTGACAACACCGCTCGGGTGGAAATCGATGGGGAGAACATCTACGAGGGCTCCCTCAAGGAGGATTGGGAGTTGCTGGCTCCCAAGGAGAACCGAAACGGCCTTGGGAGGGCAGGTGATGAGGAACGGTCACAGACCGGAAACCAAACTCAAGCTTGAAACGGTGCTTGACTCAAGCTTGTGTGTGTTGCTTTGTGGAGAAGGTCAGCAGAACCGAGTTTCCGATCAAACGCGCAGAGAGTTTCCGAGGGATGTTTCTGGCCTCACCCGCATGGATTACCGACTTGAGCATCGCTGATTAGCAAGGAGACCGACCAGCATGGGCCAGTTGTCCACTTCCATCAGCCAGTTGAAAAACGTGTGCACTGAATCGTTACTCAGCATCGTTCAGGAGATCAAGGATCCCGCTGACAAGAAGCCCAGTGATTGGGTTGATGACAGCATGATGGACGACCCCGAGGACAAGAAGCCTGCGGATTGGGTCACCCCAGCTTGTTTAGCAAAGGTACCACCATTGGGTGGCTAATGTGGGAGCAGTGCATTTGTTCTTGTTGGAGGTGGTTGGTTTGCAGGAAGGGTTGCAAGGCCCACTGACCTTTGAGCCCTTTGGGGTTGAAGCAGGGTCTCTTTTGGTCTTTCCACCGAGCCGACACCTTGACCAAGTCCCAGGTCGAAGAGAAGCGAATTGTAGATGCCAAAGCCAAGAAGCCTGACGACTGGGACGATGAGGAGGATGGTGAATGGGAGGCGCCCATGATCGACAATCCCGACTACAAGGGCGAGTGGACTGTGAAGCGCATCTCGAATCCCGCCTACAAAGGAATCTGGGAAGCCACCTGGCACAGAATCTGCTGCTGCTGCTGCTGCTCTTGTTTTGGGCCACGCTGGGTAGTTTGAGGGTTTCAGCACATTGGGATCGGGGTTCGATGCTTGGTACGTGGGGTGTCCAAAGATCCAGTTTGTGCGAAGAAAGGTTCGACACCTCTGAACACTTGTAAGCTTATCAGCTGAGGCGAAGAAGATTGCTAACCCGGAGTTCGTGGATGACGACGGCCTCTCAGTCTGACCAAATGGATGAGGATGGCACGCAGTGGTATTTGATGAGCAATGGGCGCCTCCATGATCCAAACATGGTTGAACTTGGGGATCAGGATCCAGCGACAAACCCCGAGCATTTTCACTGGCAGGATGTGATGAGGTTTGAGTCTTACAGTTCGGCTTCTTGAAATACCTTTTGACCAACGGTGGGTCCCAAACCATGATGGGAAGGGGAAGGGCTCCTTTGCCTCCAGCGGGCTAGTAAGGGTAGTTTAGCAAAGTTTTCAAGCGAGTTTGGTTTCCTTGCGTTGCTGGGCTGTTCGCGACAGTATCTAACACCTCTTGCAGGTTTTTGTGGGAGACGCACTGTCAGCGGCGAGTTGTGGCACAGCGAGCCCACGTGACCACTTTAAACCCACAAGTCATCAAAGCCGAGCCAATTCGAGGTACCACAGAAGAGTGCTTCAGACTCTTGATTGATAAACCCCCCATATGAAGAGGATGGGAGGTTTATATATTAATCAAGACCCTACATTATGAGGAGTTCTGGTAGGACAGAACCTTGTTGGCTCTTCACCAGGTCATCCGAAGCCTCAACCGGACCAAATGCACGCAGCACGCACGCAGCAGGTCTCTACAAGTTCGATGACTTTGGCTTCATTGGATTCGACCTCTGGCAGGTGTGAGATGATGTCATCTGTTGTCCTGTGCGATAAACTAGGACAAGTGAATGTTTCAGGGCGTCAACTTCTAAAAAGTATTTATTGTACTTTTTCCCGTTTCCCAGGTTTGCCCAAGGTTGTGATTGTTGCCGCTGCTGCCGCTGCTGCTGCTGCTGTTGCTGATTGTCGTGGTAGTGGTAGTGGGAGCCTCACTGGACTCGTTTTGGTGGCAGACCATTCCTTTAAAGAGTGTTCTCCGCTTTCTTGGGTTCGGTTCCCTTCTGCATGGTACTGGATGGCAGGTGAAGGGGAACACGATCTTCGATAACATCATTATCACCGATGATGCAGGTGAGGCTGACAAGTTCCTTCAGAAGTGGAAGGCACTCAGTGCGGTGGAAAAGGCCAAGAAAAAGGACGGGCCGAGGTTTTCTGGCCACAGGGCCAACAAGAGGAACGAACAATTGGGGTATGGCATGCCATGGTTGTAGGTGTTGTAGTCTTACTTGAGATCCCCTTTGCCACCACGCAATCTATCGGCTTACTGGGGCCTGAAATTTTTAAGGAAACAGTTTCACCAGAAAAGAAGTTCAATGATAAAGAGAGAATGGGAAGGAAGTACAAAAAGGAAGTGACAAGACCAAAAATGTCAAAAGATTTGATCACCAAAAAGCAATTATACCAGCGTAGACCCCAAACAGAGCAATGTTCAAAAATGAGATCTCCGAACAATATGGCCAGCAGTATTTCCTAGAGGAAGAAAACTATAGTCCACCATGTAGACGCACATACAAGATTCAAAGGGAAAGCATTAAAATTCTGTTTTTCATTGACTTTACAATGGGACGCCGTACAAGGGCTAAAACATGAAATTTATGGATCCAGGTTGTGACATATGTTGCCCCCCTTGTAAACACGAATGCGCAGACCCAATCAAAATGAAGATTTCCTCAGAGCACGGACACTGCGCTTGGCTTTTTCCTTCCTACGCAGTTGCCTTCTTTGGCTTAGCCATGTATTGCATTGACCTGTGTTTGCCATAGGTCGCAACACTTGACGTAAGAGTGTGTGATTGCTTCGTTGATCATCCGCACGAAAGTAGCTGCCAACCTAAACAGCAAATCGAGCAATGCAACGCTTGTGGTGAAAATCGGCCCAGCATCCAGCCAAGCCCGGGGATACAAAGCATCCAGACAGGCCATGGGAAACAAGTGGAAGACAAGTGAGCTTACTGGGAGCCAAGTCGAGACATGTGGGAGACAAGTGTGAAATCATGCGGCCAGAGCACTCAGAGAGAGCTTACTGGGAGACAAGTGGGAGACAAATGGGAGACAAGCGTGAAATCATGCGGCCAGAGCACTGAGTGGGAGACAAATGGGAGACAAGTATAAAATCATGCGGCCAGCGCACTCAGAGCATCCAGAGCTTACTGGGAGACAAGTGGGAGACAAATCGGACAGAGCATCCAGAGCTTACTGGGAGACAAGTGGGAG